GTGGGGGTCAAAGATCCAGGAATGAGAAATCCCTAAGCAAGTGCTCACTGTGCTCAGATCTCCTTTGGGAGGCACCTTGCCCACTTTCTGCTTAGTTATAAAGGGTCTCAAATTAAAGGAGCGCTGTAACCTTTTGGTTTAAGCCAACACTGTTGTCTTGATCAGCCTTCTCTGGGAGCCTCTAATTGCCTATGCAGGAGGAGAGGTCGGAGTAGGTCTGAATGTCATTATTATTACAGCATGGCAGACTTCCTTTTTGCCTTTCTGTGTGGGTGAAAGTTACTTACAACCCATCGGACTGCGTCACTCTTCCGTTGAGCAAGAGAGGACATTACTGCATTTATTCACCTCTTGCAGGCAATTTAATACAATAGCAGGAAAAGGGTAAAAAGTGACTTACGTCTTGAACCCTGTGGTTTTCTAACTGGTCCGTTCCCTCTGAAAAAGATCTGGAAGTAATTCACCCAACAAATTTAGTAAATCAATTTGTCTGGATCACAGATTCTATTCGGATAATCACTGAGGTCTGTTCCTGAAGCTCCCTCACCCACAGCAGACAATTTGGTTACAGTAAAAGCACTGACAATAGCTGGACAAGGAAGACAAGAGATATGGTCAATGTGCTAAAAAATGCTGCTTAAACCATCAAATAGTACTATGTCTGAGAATTAATTGCAGTCTTCTACTGCAATGGGTGGAAAAGAGTAAAAGGCAAAACATTGAAAGGTATAAAATCCCCATATCTTCCTGGCTATCAACTTAATGACTATTAATGTAAGAGCAAACAAGCACCACAAACATCCTCTTAGTTATTAAAACACGCATATGCCTTTTGTCACACCTGTGGCATGTATTATTAATTCACCCAAACGCCTGTTCAAACAAAATGACACGCAACACCACACACAGTGCCACTGAGAAATATGACTCATATATGTCTTTAAACAGCAGTGTGAATTAATGAGATACAAGAAATTTGATTAAACCATGAAACACAAAGGGACATTCTCCACCTGTGGCAATAGCAGCATTCAAGTGTTCACCACCGTCACAGAATGACATCCCTGGGGTTTAAAGGATTTATTGATTAAGACTGCACACCAAATTTATTGATTAAGACAGACCGCTGCACACCAAAGGATATGGAGAATCAAACATCAGCTGTAAAATCGTGAGGCGAAACAATGAGGATTTCCATAGAGCTTCTGCAAATGGGTCGCTCTTGCAGTGAGAGAATGACAAACTGTTTAATGACTCTCTGGTTTTCATCCAGTTCTTCTATATAATTTCCACTGCAGCAACGTGTTGTGGTCTGCCCCACTGCTTCCTTTACAATGGCTGTATTATGAATGTTGTCTAATTAACAGCTGTTGTTTCACACCAGCTGCAAAGCGTTATCTGAAGCTGTGCATACTTTCTTAAAGATAAGGTTCTGCATTTAAGATGTCAGTTTCATAAGTAGGATATACTGCTGCAGACTGAAAAGTAAATCTAAAATTATACTTCAACTAACGTGTGCATTACATTTTTAAAGACGCCATCGGAAAAGTTTAAACTGGCGGTAGCCGAAATTCTTGTTAAGTAGTTCGGTGCAAGTGAACTTTAAAAGTTATGTAATAAGGAATTAAATCAATGAAAATGATTATCACGTGAAAACACTGTAGATTTGTTTTCTTGGATATGAAGTTGAGGGTGAATGTACATAGTGCGTAGACTATTAATCTGCTTTAACTATGTACAGTGACTGTGAAATATCTTAAGAAGCTAGTGACAGCTTTATAAAATGTGAAACTACCCTGAAGTCCTCCTGACTGCCTAACCAACATTATATTTAAGCCGTTTCTTTGAAGGTTCATTTAAAAGCCATTGATCTGAATTTGAACAGATAGAATGAAATCTTAGATCTAAAAATGAGTGTAAAATATTTTTCTGGATGAATTACATTACCGATTAAAATCACTTGAAATCTGGTGAAAATCAGAACTCAAAAAGCCTTCACCCATTCTGTTCATTCAGTCAGCACCTTCCACAATTAACAGCTATATTCCCCTCAGTAATGAAGAAATTACTGCGTTAGTGCATTTGCACAATATCATGAAACTATTTCTGCTAACAAATGTCAAAAGTCATATATGTCATAGTCTAATAGTTTCTTTCAATGTCACAGCCACTGTTTTTGTGCTCACCACAAATATAAAGTCACCACTTTCACAGAAACCTTTGGGGAACATAAATATGCTGAAAAAAACAAACTTCTTGTTCTGCAGCTTGTTTAATTTACCAATACAGTAGGTCAACATACACAGGAAAACAGAAAAAGGGCTGTGTTACATGTTACGTATGTTCTTACCTCACTGAAAGTTACGTAAGTCCATCTGTATCGATGAACAAAACACGCTTTCCACAGTCAACATCCGTCACTGATTAATCATGGCTTGACAAGGGTTTTGAAATTTTGAAAAAATAAAAATGTCTACACAGGAAGCATGGCCTTAAGTTAAAAAAGCTGGTCTTCTCAATGTCCTTTCCTCATATTTTGCTCTGAAGGGGAAACTGTAACATCATAAAAGGTTAACTGTTTCTGTTTTGCCTCTTTTTAAAAAAAGGAGAAAACTAACATATTATACCTTTAAACTAAACATTACAGAATACTTCAAAATGAAAAAATAACTTCAAAATTATTTTTATAGTGTTCTGTATCTGAGGGAGATACAGTTTGACCTATTATGATCGTGTATCTTGTAAGGCAGTGATGTGGTATTTAACTTTTCAATACGTAACTGTGATATTTTGTTATTAAAATCTGTTTTATAAAATGGCACATTTTTTTCCCAGTTCTAATGGAAGAAAAGAATTACTGTACATCACACAGAAATAAATATAAAATGGTTTGGGAAAGTAAACATAAGTATACACTGTAAAAAAATCCACAGAGTGAGCGAAACGTATTGGAAAGCCCAGGACACACCATTGCTATGAAGATGCTCTGGAGATGACAAACATGAGCTGTGTAAGGGTAAAGTCAATCTTTTATTCTAACCATTACACAAGGGCATACTGTTTTATAACCTGGACTAAGTTGCATCAGTATTACAAGTGGGTAGCTGCGTCAGTCAGCATGCGTAGGCCGCAAAGGAAGAAGTAAAGGTTTATTCCGTGCTGAAAAGAGAACAAAGTTGTGTTCCTTTCTTCTTGAAATTTAATGATTAAACTGGCTACATTACCAAGTATACATTCAGTAGTGTAAGGGATAACACGGAACCAATACTTTCTGTAGTACACCGATTGGTAAAAGTCACATGGACAGAGACCAGGCAGTAACCCTTCACATAGGATATTAGGGATTCAGACGGAAAGTGATCTACTTGCAGAAAGCGCATAACAAATTCACTGCTGACACTTGTTCACACTGTAAGAAAACAATTCCAACTTCTTAAGAACGACCATTTGTCATTTGCGGTGTATGGCCCCATCGTGAATTACAGCTGTTGCACTTCAAAAAGTTAAGAACGTTTAGGTAAATAGGTAAATAAACAAAAATCATTATCCTGTACAATAAAATTCAACAAAAACTTAATCAACTCCACAGGTCCAACAAGTACACTACTGTTAGTGCAAGGATGCAAGCAAGATGCATTTAACTGATGTTTCGAAAGCTTACCTTCATATTGACATGAAACCATAAGTCCTTGGGTTAGAAGAAATGGAAATATCACACCCATGTAGTGTGGGTGCCACTGGAAAAACAGTCCCATTTGGCAAACAGAATAGTAAGTCACAGAAACAGAGAACAGACCAGTAAGAAAGTGTCACTGATTCTAACAACTTTAGCACGGAAAATTGCCACCAGCTGTAGAATTTCACACCTCAGAAAAGAAGACGGTACTGATTTTTAAAAAGTTTTTTTTCCTATTGCTATGTAATTTCCCTTCTATGCAAAAAAAGCTACTATACAATGCATTCTGCCTTGAGCTCTTATCCAATACATACCAAGCAATGCAGATTATCTACAGAAAATTAACACTGCATAAATCATTATAATCCAGGGAAAATAAAGAAAAAAATATCCAAGTTAAGAGTAGCAGGGTCAATATAATCGATGTCGTGACAACCCCAAGGGAAAAGAAATATAAAATTTAAACAGATTACTCATTAAATTATGAAGATTGCAAAAACATTACTAGCTCTGACCACACAATGGGTGCCTTTTATTTTATTAGTACAGTATTGCAAAGGTAGCTTTTATGACATTTCATAAATACAGGATACAAATACTTAAATCTGTAATAAATTCCAGTCACAAACAATCTTGTGAAGCAAGATTTTCAAAGATACTTCTTGTCTGGCAGCAATCGAGCATTTTCTATTTATGACAAAAAGATTCTCAAAGTCATCTGTGTGACCCAAAAAGATGAATCTACTGAAATCAGAACTGCCCATTCATTAAAAGCTTTAGCTTCAAACAATATCTTGAAATGAACACATTTGGAAAAAACAAGAAAAAAAACTTTACAATCTTGTCTTTACGGCTATAATAATAAAAAACACATGTAAAAACAAAACACTGTAACTACTTTCCCAACCAAAGGTCTCTGAGAATGCTGGCTTCCCTATAAATTAGTTCATTGTGATTTGCAGAGCTGAGATTACAGTATATGCAAAGTACCACAGACAGAACGAAAGCAATCTTTTAAAGGCAGAAGGACAAATCAAAAAAAGTCGCTGAAACAATGTCTACTGTATATTTCACCCGATACAATCACCAGAGAAGAGGAGCAAAAAAGAAAAGAAAATGAGAAATGGCTTCTTTCCAAAATGTATTTCAGTTCTTGATAAAACTGCCTACAGTCCACATTTACCAGAATGGGATACTGCAACAAACGGGCAGCTTCCTTAATCCCAGAGAGCAGAAAAAGTATTGCAGGACACTAGTTTAGATAAGGCCATCTTAAATTTGGGGTTATGCTAGGGTAGTTATAATTGTATCACAACTGTATGAAAGCCATCACGAAGAAAAACTAAATAAAGGTACTGAGACCTAATTAACCATCAAGTAAATAAGAAACCCTGTGAGAATTTATATACAACATTTTTTTTATTTCATGTTTCCTTTCAACAGTATCTACTGTATGTATACAGAACAGTTCTAGTAGTAAAATACTGTATGCATATGGTACATATTTTACTTTACCCAGAAAAAACAGGATTAAAGGAAGTTTATATCACTTTTGGCAGCTAAGAGGCAATATTCTTTTCCAAATCCTTTCATGAAAAGGAATAGTGCCATTTTGTGCGACAGAAACACAGTGTCATATGTAACATTCACAATGTCAGAGGCCTCTGCTGCAGACTATTTTACACCAGAACATGTCTTATCTTGGCTTTGAGAAACACACTCGTTAAAAGGGATAGAAATCCTGACCAATAAGCTTGGCTGTTCCAGGTGACATGCCAGATGAGCAGATCTCTTTAGCACAACTCATCAGTGACTCCTCACCAACACTTTGAACGGCTATGGAGAGGAGCATCGAGACTGAGAAGTACTGTGCTTGTCATCTCTTCACAAGTGAACTGTAAATATTTGTTCAGTGTGAGATGATAACAGCCGAACAATGCACAACAAAGAGTCAAGAAAAGATGAAAAGTAAGTAAAGGTGTGGAGATTAAGGACAAGAAATAGTTTTACAGGTCATCTAATCTGGATATTCACATTCATTTTAAAATAATAAGCAGTACGATATGAACAGAAACGTTTGCTCATGGCTGTCGATTTCCATCCAGGTCTGTCTACATCTCTTCCTCTGCTCTGCCACAGAGAATCGCAGACATCTGCTGGTCTGTCACCGTCACATCCCTGCAGAGCCCCATAGCCCGGCAGAGGTAGACTGCAAGGATGTGTTTGCACTGCAGGAGGGGGGTGAAACACGCACACATGTTCATTTCCATGTGCCGCAAGCAGCTCTCCATTACTGCCAATACCAAAGGGCAGAGACCCTCTCCAAGCACAAACTACACAGGTGCAACAGTTGTTGTCCAATGGCATAGGACACTCATCCTCAAACCTTCTAGTTTGTCTGGTTGTAACAATCATTCAACAGAAATAAGGTATTTCTTCCTTTCGCCTACAGTGTTGGCACTTCCTAGCCTGCTGCATACCTTAGTCATTCTTTGCGTGCGGAACAATGTCATAGTTTCTATGACTAAGTACATTTTTTTTTCACTTCTCGATATTCTGTTTTTCTGAGGTTTTAAAGTTGCAATCCTTCACTTTTGCCTGCTTTGTTTTTAAATTAATCATAACTGACCAGAAAGGGGTTCTGCTTTTTGTGAGTCCTAATAGTTCTGTCATGACCTCTTGAGCTTGTGAACTACCAACCACCTTGAAGCCACAGTGTCAGGCACACTTCTATACACAGCAGAATTTTGACCTTAAAGTCATGAACCCACTGCTTCAAATCCAATTCAATGATTGGCTCAAACAAAAACATCAATCAATTTAAGTTTTTTTCAAGTTTCAAAGTTTCAGGTTACATTAAGTTAAAGTGGAAAAAAAACATTCTTACAAAGTGTCTCATGGCTGGCTGTTGCTTATTTTGTGAAAATAAAAGATTTGCAAACCAGTGCACTGTGTTCTGTGTTCCACTCTGCGAGGAAATCAGAAAACACCCACCTACGCTCCCTCCACACCCCCACGGAAAACCTGATGCATATGTGATCTCATTCGATTACCAAGCAAGGAGGGGACTCCAGCCCATGAGCTCTGTCAGCATAAAACCCAACCACCTTCTTTACCAAAGTGAGCCAACGGGACCACACCACCGGTCTTTACATGAGCAACATGGGTTACACACCCTGAATGTTGCTGTAGTGATAAACCAATTTCAACACTTAAGGCAGAAGAGTCCGCTTATTCATTGCGTGGAAAAATATTAGTCTGTTCTGTCTCCATACTGCTAGGAAGGTGGAACAGAATCTCAAGAATATCTGAGTTTCAGAGGGGCCAAAACTAGGGTTGGTTTTCATTCACCTCTCACACCCTCACTATTTTCCTGCCAAATTAATCCAACAAGACTAATATTGTTATGAGTATCTCAAAACCAGAGTGTCGACCAGACTTACCAATGAGCAACTGAAGGAATTTTCCTTTACCTAACTTTGGGTGTATCTATATGTTTTTCTTACTCCCTGGTTTTAGAATGAAAAGGATCATTCCAATAGCGTCAGACACCTGGTCAGACCAGCACCCATCTCTGTACCTGTTCCTTGGAAAGCGACTTGTCTGGAGTAGTCTTATTAAAAGAAGGGGATTTACCAGCAAGCTGTTGTTTCTCCTCAGCACAGAGAAAGTGAACGACGGACAGGGACAGTAGTGGCAGGAAGAGTAGCAGGTGTACAGACGCCCAGAGCTTCCCACCACCTGAAACAAAGATGAACCAGAAGCCACTTCAGTCATCTACACCAACCTACAAAAGAATACTGTGTATCCCATCTGGAATCCAAACTTCAGTTGTTTTTCTAAAATGAAAGAAAGATCACCTGACCTCGATAAACTGCCTGTTTACTTAACAGATACGCAAGACAAATGACCGTGGTATTTTCAATGACAAAAGAAACAGGAAAGGTTTAATCCGTGCTGAAAAGAGAAGAAAATAAACAACGCTTCGGCTGTGGAGCCTTCTTCAGATCCTACTACTTTCTCATAATTAATACCAAAAAATACATAAATACCCTTTATTTAGGCTCACCCTCCTCTCACTCTTCGTATGTCTTTTTCTGCAGGTTTCCAGCACTGTCTATTATGGTGTTACTTGCTAAAATCCACAAAGTAGGAGACAGAATTGACGGAGTAAAAAAAAATAGGATTAAGTATGAGCTTATCATTATAAAGCAAGTAAATGTGATTAATTTAGTAAAATAGAGCAACAAGCCTGGCGGGGTAATAAGTTCGTCAAGTTAGTCTTTTCTGTGCTTTATTCTCTACACTGCAAAGAAAACGTCTAATTTGACTTAAAACAGTCCTCACAAGATAGAGTGCATGAAATCCCATACTCAAGGTGAATCAAGAAACAATTAGAAGGAATCCAAATGTGAACTTCTGGTTAAAAATATTTTTTTCCCCAAACTACTTCAGATAAGTATAATGTGGGTAAAACGTATTTTTCCAGTTTGTGACCAGTTGTACTGTATAAAATTTGCTGCCAAAGTATCTGTAATCAGAATGTTTACTCGCAGTGAAATGAAAGCAAAAAATAAGAATGGTTACAAACGAGAGGAAGGGAGGCTCCTCGACACCTCTAGCCCGTTGTATGGTTAATTGATCCAAGTATCCCATCCAGCTATTTCTCAAAAGACGTCAGGGTATCGGCTTGAACGGCATAGCTGGGTAGCTTGTTCCACACTCCCACTACCCTTTGGGTAAAGAAGTGCATCCCGTTTTTAAAACGAACTTCTCCTTTCACATGCTTTACTGTTGATTGTGTGGAACTCCCCTTGACTGATTTTGCCAACGCCTTTGAGAGTTTGGATCTTGGATCAGGTCCCTTCAAGTGTTCCATGCCCAAGAACCGGAATTCATTTAAATTGGAAAATATTTTAATTGCTTTTGGAAATTGATCTTTTTTTGGGGGGGCAATTAACCTAATGAAAAGGGACTCTGAATTCACACAAGATGACAACCTGAAAATCCAAAGGCTGTTTAACTTCCTTCTCATCTTAATTCATATGACGTTGCCAGCATACTAGGTCCACACCAGCTACCTTCTGCTGTTTGGAAAAATAATTTAAAATATATTCGCAGGAGAAAAACTTTCTTATAAGACACCATTCTTAAGAATCCTTCCATTTTAGACATGTCTGGTCATTTACTTTTCAACAAACAATACATTAAAATGCTTTGATCATCAAATTCACCAAACGCACTAAAGGTTTGTTTTCTGAAAAACAGACATACAGAGACTCAAGATTGCTGCTAGAAAGATGTCCCAATCAAACTGGCTCGATGGTAGATAAGGTACAGAATAACCACTGAAGAATACAACTTCCTCTCATTTTCTATCATAACAATTACAGCAAAGGTGCTTTTTCTGGCTTCTTTAGTCAAGGCATTTATCAAACAAAAAGATCTGATAAGAGCTTTAGAATTAAATAAGACTAAAAGTACCCTGAAGGAAATATGTGTTAAAAAAATGGAATGGCTCAAAAAAACAGATATAGCAGTATGTAAGTAGAATCATTGTGTTCACAGATGCATCAGTTTAATCAAAATAAATGATGCTTTTAGACCACGTCATGCACTGCATTTAAGCAGAAATACTTCTCAAAACTGAGTCACAGATAATCAAGTTTTTATTTTAGGTACCTTCTAATACATTAAGACATACAAATGCCACCAGATTAAAAATGTTATTCTTTGCATATTAAACAACAGTAAAATATCTACTAGTGAAACGATGTAATCTACTACAAACCAGAAAGTTTTTTAATTAGCATGCATCAAAATGACCACATTAAAAAAAAAAGAATAAATGTTTATAAAAGGGATTACTAAATCCAGTAAGATCATCTCAGTTCCTAGAACAAGCCTTGAGCTCTGCAACACCACACGGTACAATGTATTTAAAGACTTTGGAAGCCAAGGGAACTATTTAAAATACAGTTGGGAAGGTCAAGAATGTGGCGGAGCGATAAGTTCTCCATCACATTACACAAACAGCTGCTATTGTCCATCAGGGAATTCTGAACTCTAGCATGTGTGAGAAGGAGAACAAGAGATAGAGGTTTCTCATCTCCTCCCTTGTGCATGAGCATGATGCTGTTGTTGGAGCCCAGATGTACACATTTCGCACTTCAAATAACCTATCTTGCAATACATGTGGACTTCTTTAAATTGCACAAAGAGATTCTGAAATGTTACTCAAAAATGAATTGGACGCATCTAGAAATGGTTAACACTGGGTATGCCCATTTAACCGAAATTACTCTTTCACATTGTTTTTATTTCAGAGGTCCAAGGGCAAAAGAACTGCAAACAAGAATTCTGCTAGTGAGGTTTGTTTTATATATGTAGTAATGAATATCGCCCATAAATTCAGCCCTCTGGCAGTTTAAAAAAGCAAGAAGGGGATCTTGGATGGTTTAACCAGTAAAGGAGTTTGCCTGAACGCAGGCTGATCTCTGGGGTCACGGGTTCGAATCTGGGTTGTTTCACAGCCTTGGTTCTTGGGGAAATAGTGACTTTCTGGGCACCTGCAAGCTTGAAGATATATCAGCACTAAATAACCTGGTCTTCCAGCAGGATCCAAGTGCAACCTTCCAAGTGGAAGGCAGCGCGGCGCTGGGAGTTTTACGAAACAATGAACAGCTGTGACAGGAACACGTGAAGGAGGAGCATGTCTGACGATCCTCAGAGTCAAGAATTGGGAGGGATATACAATGGGGGAAAAAAAAGATTCCAAAGGATAATCAAACAATTCAATAACCAAAGGTATGAACGCATCGATCCAAGTTCACATAATAAAAGGAGATAAAAAACATAAAGTGCCATCTTTTACTTATCAATCACACTTTCTTTTTCATATAATAAACCGCCTAAACTACAACACACAAAGGAATGAGATTACTCTGCCAAGCATACCAGGAACAGCTCCCATGAAAGCAAGCCTGTGGTGGACAGTAACAGCATTCCAGGTAATGCCTCATAAAAGGCTTTCTAGAAGCTAGGAAGCAGTTTTGCGCATCATTGACAGCGGAGAGGAGAGAGAGAGAGCAGTTTTTCCATTTCTTTCCATTAAGCCACAGAGGTCAGATAAACCCAGAGAAAAACGTCACGTGTGTCTCAGAAACCCTGCTAAGAAGAGGCTCGAAGGCAATGAAGAAAAAAAACAACACACAGCCTGGAATGTATCTGTTTATCTCATTAAGCACAACCACACTTATACTACTTTCTCACGTAAGCAATTACAGAAAATAAGGATGCAGGGCCTTGAAAAAAATAACAGAGGCGATGTCACTGGTCTACTGTAAAAACAGGTTTCATTGTGTTTTTATTGTGGTTTCATTTCAACAAGATCCCACCAGCAGCTTGGGGAATGTAGCACAAACAACAAGGAGCCCAAGTCCCTGATGTGTGCTGTGTACGCCGTATATATTAACACTGAAATAAACCCTGCTGTTCTTATTCCTTGCAGGAAGACATAAACGTACAAAGGTTCCCTTGTGCTACGGGATCTTGGGAAACAATTCTCTAGATACCAACGTCCCCTTTCTGCTTTAAAAAGGAAAAGCACTGCAGGGTTGTCTTAAAAACCAGGCTTATTTGCTATTCTGCAGAAAGCAATATGCTTTTCACAAGCTGATAAAGCAATTAAAAAAAATCTCAAACTTCTTTTGACCTCTGTGGAAAGAGTCTGCAGTCTGGCATGCCACGACACAAGCCGGACATCCGTTCTAACTCCTCTGTGGAGAGCTCTTTGAAGTATCTCAAACCGACCGCACACAGTCCAGTTAAGGCCTTACAGATCAAATGTTATTTTTCCCTGCAGTTAAATTGCATTTCGGACTGCCTCCCGCTCTGCTCTGTGACTACTCATGCAAGACTAGTGACACACTGCAAAGGAGTCAATTTAATAATTTGTTTTGGCTGCATGGCCATCTCCTGTTACACAGCACCTTGGAAATTAACCAAGCCCAAAGGAGATAACATGAACACGATAGGAATTAAAAACTGGCAGTTCCATTGCAGGCACAAAACTGGCCTGAACTAACAAGGACGATGAAGAGTCTGTTGCTTTTCATTTTTTGTAGCTAAATCTTAAAAAACGCCCTACACTAGCAGCATCAACTCTTTTAAAATTTAAAAAATGGTTTCAAATCTGATCAAGCAAATGCATATTTTTTGAACGGTCCAAGGTTTGGCTTTACAAGGTGTGATATTTAATGGATAGGGACAGTCTGAACAATAAGGGAAGTTCAAAAGCTGTGCATGTACAGTAAATGTAGTAAAGGTGAAATGTGACACACAAAAACTGTTCCTTCAAAGCCTCAGGAACGTTAAAGAAATACAGAAATAAAACCTTTGTATTCTGAGGCCTTCTATTCAGATGAAAGTTCATTAATATACTAGTTATTAAATTATTTAAGAGTGGGGGAAAAGGCCAGCTTTTTCATTTCATCTCTTGGAAGTATAAGAACATAAGAAGTTTGTTTGGTAGTTAGTAGCTAATTGATCTAAGGATCTCATCCAGCTGTTTCTTGAAAGAAGTCAGGGTGTTGACTTCTATAATATGCTAGGGTACCTTGTTCCAAACTCCCACACCTCTCTGTGTAACAAAGTGTGCTTCTGTTCTTGGAAGGACATTTAAATGTACTTCCAGGCAGTTTCCATGTGTGCCTTCTGTTTCATGTTACACTGTTGAATCT